GCACACAGCGCCCCTCCAAGCTCCATTTTGGGAGCTTCCTAGCCTCAAAGAAGCCTCGAGGGGGGGCGTTTTTGCTCCCCTAAGGCTCCTCTGGGACTCTGGAACGCAAAAAATGGAGGGGGGGGCTGAGCTCCTCCCTCCATTTTTTGCCTTCCTAGGCCTCAGCAAGGGGAATCCCGACACAGCTGATCTTATCTGCAGCTGATTGTGGGGAGGGGAAAAAAAGAAAGAAATACCTTAGGCGAATGTCAGGCAGGCAGGCGGGGTGAGCGAGCATTGGGCGGGAGGGCGACCGGGTGGGGGGCGTGGCCAGCCAGAACTTACTACCAGTTCGGCGACCCACGCCAAATTCTTGCTACCAGTTCTTCTGATGCGGTGTGAACCGGCTGAATACCACCACTGTTATGTGGGCGCATGTTTCAACATTTTCACTATTTTGGGCTATTTTTGATGATCATGTACTAGGGAGTAAGCGAACCATGTCAGGGGAAGTAATTCAGAGAAATTTCATTGTGAGAATGTAATGTGTATGTTAAAACCTAAATAACCTCAAATAGTCAGATGTTCCCTGGTTGTGTTAAGTTTAAAATCCCTAGCTTAAAAAGTTGTCAGCTATGTGGGTTGGAAGTTGCAATTTCAACACAATCTGGAGGATACCAGATGGGAGAAGATTAGTTTAGTCTTCTGAATATTTAAAAAAATCAAAGCAGCCAGTTTATTGATTACCTTATTGGATCCTGGGTCCTCTTTGCTTATGAAGTAGAACTGTTGGCTAAAAGCTCAGTCACTAAGAAATTAAACTCTTCCCCATGCTGATCCACCCCATTTTGATTCTTAATTGCTAGGTAGAAACAATCTTGTCCTTTTACAGTGTGATTCTTATGCTGTGGGAAAATGCTACTTTTTACATGATAATTACACTGTTGACTATGCTGATATTGCAAGCTGCAAAATAAATATTTGGATATAAATATACTGTTAATTACTTATATATTACTGCTTACTTTTAACTCTTGGTGACATTGTCTCCTATGCCTTAAGTTATTACATCTTTAGCCTGGACCTATTCTCGTCTCTTTCAGGCTCGTTTACTAGGTACCCTGGCTGTATCTCGAGGCCTGGGCGATCATCTGTTAAAAGTAATTGAAACAAACATAGAAATTAAGCCTTTCCTCTCCTGCATCCCTAAGGTAAGAAAGTACTATGTTACATTGATAGTAGCAGCCTGTGTTTTAGATACTTCCCATTCTCTATATTCAGTCTATTCATCCTTTTAGAACGGTAGCTTTATTTCAAAGAAACTACAACAGTGTTACAAGTGTTATGTCTGGATAGTCTGTGTATGTAAGTACGGTGTGGGTGTTTATATAGGAAAATAGATATAGCATTGCCAAGATCTTCCTGGATTGAATAATGTAGGGAAGTCTGCCACAATCTTTCATATTGGTTAAATTAAGTATGAGAAGCCTCAGGATAATGAGGTCCCAAATCACAGGAAGGTTTCTTCTGATTTTCAAGTAGACTCCACTTGCAGATTTTTCACCTTAACATGGAGATTTGAGAAATGAAGTGGCATATGTTGGGGGTAAGACTATTGATGTACATCCCAATTCCTTACAAGTGTTCTCATATTTTAATCAACTCAGATACCTTTCTAGAAATTTGTTATACTCCTAAAGCTGCAAGGGCATGATTTACTCACCCAAATAGATAAACATATTTTAGGTGAAATATTGTACATACCCAGCCCACGTATCCTGCAGGAGGAATCTTGAAACTGGGAATTCAACTAATTAAGCAATGTAATAAATGTAACTGTGGATGAGTCTGAACACAGAACCAAGATTCTTGGTCCCAGAGAATGCACTTTTTAATTCAGATTTTTTTCAGTGACCATATGCCACAGTGACTAAGTACTGCCAGGGATTTACCCTGTAGTATCACATAATTGCAAACCTATACAAAATTCATATTCTCCCCACCCCCCCCTTTCAAAAATTGATTACAAGTTATACCTTCAAATTTTGATTTATATTTTGGTAGTGCAATCTTCAGGGCTTCTAAAACAGAAAAATATATTGAGTGAGTTGTATATAGGATACAGCTTTTCAATGCATAGGTTTATAACATTTTAGGACCTAGACATTTAAGAATCCCAACAATTATTTTTAATCATTTCATTATTTCTGACTAGGTGGAAGTATTTGATTTAACATCAGAAAATGTTAATGAAGACGATGTCCTCATCATGGCAACAGATGGCCTTTGGGATGTTTTGTCCAATGAAGATGTAGCCCAAATTGTCAGAAATTTTCTCCAGAACAATACAACTGATCCTTACAGGTACAATTAAGAGGTTGCAAAAATTCTGGGAATTTCAAGGTTATTCTCTCAATGGAACTTTATAGAACAGAACTGTAACAATAATTAATCAATTCCATTTTCTAACTGATAGTTAACTATAATGTATATTGTGTGAACTGTGTTCAACCTGATGGTACTCCTACCTCATTTTTAACTTCAACAGTACAAATTTTAAAGGAATCCTTCAGAAATCTAAGGCAATAAAAATACTTGGCAGAAATACTGGTGCTAAAAATATAAGAAGTGAAACATGTTAGTCAATCTATGCAATTATAATTTTATATTAGACATCTTATTGTAACAAATAAATTCCGATCCTTTGTCAGTATCCTTTGCTCACGGAGCAGTTAGAATACCAGGCAATTAATACATTTTTGTATTGGAAGAGGGCATAGCATTCATTTTGCCTGAGACTTATAGAGGCCAAAAAAAGCCCCTAAACTGAATTTGGATGAATCTTTCATATGTGATAGCTTGAGCATTTATTCTGGGATACATTTTGGTATTTGCTTTTTAATTTACCTTCTTAGCTTGTAGACAATTGTATTTTCTATCCCGACATGATGTAGGATTATTTATTTTTGTCTTCATGATTCTTTACAGCTGCCAAAATATCCCCTTAAACTGGCTAGGATGTTGGGAGCTAGAGTTTAATGATTATCCATCTCTTAATAAAGATATTTGCTTTTTTTTTAATCCCTAAACTACTTTTTATAAAGATGAGAAAAAGCAATTAGTAAAAGTGCTGGGCTTTTTAACTTGTTATTTTAACTTGTTCAGGTTTACACAATATTTTGCCCTTCTTTGCTGCTACAATAAACTAGCTTGAAGGTAACTTTTCTCATAATGGGGTAACACATGAAATAAAAAATACAATGTCAAGCTTGGGATATAATTGTCCCGCTTGGAATGTTCTTTCAGAAACTTGTAAGTTATATATGATCCAATAGAAGAACCACAAATGGGAACGAGGGACTCAAAACACTTTGCCAATTCATTTTTAAATTTATGTTCATAAATGACATAAGGTGACAGTCTATGATGACCACTATCTGCTTCCCATTCTAGAATAAAAAGTTAAACATGAGAATTACATTATTAAAAATTTCCACAGCAAAACATAAACATGGTTACATATTATTTTCAGTCTTTGTTGGTAAAGAACAACACAGCTTAGCACAGTCCATCGATAATATAACAGCAAAAATGGTTTTTGGGTTAAACAGTCACAATGCATAAGTACGATGCCTATTTTTGTACTGGTAGCCTGTCAGACAACAGTGTTTAGCAAACTATATATATTTTCCATTTGAAAGGCAACCTGACAGTTTATCAGCAAGTACATGCACAAAGAACACACATTAAAGCTCAACTAATCAACACAATTTTTGTATCTAAATATAGAGTAGAACTTCAAAAACATTTCTGGAACACTTGGATAATTCACAGAGTCTGCTGCCCTGTCTTTGGGAAGGACAAAAAAGATTGCTCTCTAGGTGAAAGGCCCTTGTAAATAGCTATAGTTTCACTTTCATTTTCCTCCTTATCTTGTCTGTTCCAAGAGAAATAGAATGTCTGTATTTTAAGAAAAGACAGTCACAGCATTTAGAATAACTGTTTTTGTATCATGCCTTCTGAATTATACTCAACACAATATATTGTATTTCCCAATTTTATACCATTCGTGGAGATTATGCCATTTCTTTTTTAGCTGTTTCTTTAGGATTGTTTATAACTGCACTGCATAAAATCCAGTATTATTTTCACAGGTTTTCAGAATTGGCCAAACTGCTTGTGCAGAAAGCAAGAGGGAAGGAGGATGGCTATTACTGGATCAAGGACAGTAAAGAGCCTGCTTCTTATGATGACATTTCTGTATTTGCAATTCCATTGTATAACAAGAATGAATACTAAACAAAATGCTGCTGCTAGAGGAGGCACAGCTGCTCTTCAGGTGGTAATGGAACTGTTCATACAGTTGCTGAAAAATGCAAATTCAGACTTTGAAAGCAGGATAACAGAATTGGAAAGGGACCTTGGAGACCTTCTAGTCCAACCCCCAGCTTAAGCGAGAAATCCAGACAAATGGGTGTCCAAATCTCTTAAAAACCTCCAGTGTTGTAGCACCCACAACTTCTGGGGGCAAGTCGTTCCACTGATTGTTCCATCAGGAAATTTATCCTAACGTCTAGGTTGCTTCTCTCCTTGATAAGCTTCCATCCATTGCTTCTCGTCCTGCCTTCAGGTGCTTTGGTTGACTCTCTTCTTTGTGGCAACCCTTTAGATATTGGAACACTACTATCATGTCTCCCCTTGTCTTTCTTTTCATTAAACTAGATCTGTTCTCCGTATGTTTTTGCCTCTGGACCTAATCATCTTTGTTGTTCTTCTCTGCACTCCTTCTAGAGTCTCCACATCTTATTTATAACTGGATGCAATATTCCAAGTGTGGTCTTACCAAGGCATTGTAAAGTGCTACTAGCACTCCGTGTGGTCTTCATTCTGTCCTTAATGCAGCCTAAGACTACGTTGGCTTTTTTGGCAGTTGCAACACACTGCTGGCTCATATTTATGTGTCTCCAAGATCCCTCTTACAGTTACTGTTGAGCCAGGTACCATCTATTCTATACATGGGCATTTATTTGGTTTTTCTTGCCTAAGTGTAGAACCTTACTTTTCTCAACAGTGAATTTCATTATGTTAGATAGGATCCAGTGTTCAAGTATGTCAAGATCCTTCTGTATCTTGAGCCCATCTTCTGGAGTGTTGGCTATTCCTGCTAGCGTGTCTGCAAATTTGATGAGTACCCCTTTTATCCCCTCATCTGAATCCTTGATGAAGATATTGAAGAGTATTGGGCCTAAGACAGAGCCTTGGGGCACCCCACTGTATATTTACCTCCATGTAGATGTAGTTCCATTAAGGATTGATATATTGGGTGTGGTTGGTCAGCCAGTTATGAATCCATCTGGTGGTGATGCTAACTCAGAAAAGGTCATTGACTTTGTTACACACTAACCTTGTGTTTTCCTTGGTTTTACAAGTTGCTAACTTATAAATGCTAATTCGGTATTTAAGAAAAGTTTTAGCTTTCTTCATTATCTAAATATGGAAGGTTTAGCGTGTGCTTAGTGATACCATATAATGTTTTTATTAAGATGAATAATTTAATCAGAACTTAATATCTATTTTGTAAGAGGCAATTTTTGTATTGTGGCCTAAAATTTTATGCAATATCAAGAGTTTCCTCAGCAATACAAAATATATTAAAAATAGTAATAAAAATATATTGCTATACAAAAAGCCCTTAGTGAAGATTTTGTCTAAGTTGTTCACTAACTTGAACTACAGGAAATTAAGGAGTATCACCCTATTAAAGTGTTTTTACTACCTTCATTGTATGACTTCAGGGTGAATCTGTCAAGACAACATGCTAATTTGGGCTTTTGCGAAAGAGTTTATTGTAGCTCAGGTTATCTTTATATTTTATGTGTGTTACTGTATTTATATATAAAACTTATCTGCATATTAAACTGTAATATAAGCATGGACTTAATATCAAACATAAAGAATATATATTTAATATCTTAAAATAACTTTATTTTCAATAAAATACGTGCCAGCAGAATTTGTCTCATTTGTCTGAAATAGCAAGGTCATTTCGTATTTGTTTTTTATTTATAAGCTTTAAGTGCAGTTTTAAAAAATTACACAGTACTGGTACATTTTAATATACCCGTGGAGTTTGACAAAAGCTATTTCCAGAATGATTGTCTTATGTAAATAGTGACATTCCATTATTCATTATAACATGTTTCATTACTTTGCCTCATCACAGAAATGATTTTATGAGATACTTTTTCAAATAAAGGTATAGACCAGATATTATCTTTTCATCTCTTCATTGAAGTATTTTCCAGGTACTCCCATTTTTTAGCTAACCGATTTAGCTGCTATAGGCAAAAATGTATTTTTTTTACTCTGCAGCTTCTTAATCTGGCCATCAACTATGCATAGCAATTGAATCTTTTGTTTAGTTATATATTTCTTTAAACATATTCTTCCAAAATTCTAATACTTTATTGCATTCCCAGCAAATATGAAAGAATGTTCACTGTGACTGTCAGTTTCACCAGCATCTCACAGAATGTTGATAAATTATATAGAAGCTTGATGTCACTGATGTAGAAGTTTAAGATGATTCCTTTTATTAATACTGATAAAAATTACTGGTGCTGCCATAGATTGGCAAATATCTTTACTTTTAATTTAATATTTATTTCTAAATAACTAAAAACCCAACTGTTCCTTTTTTCTCTTAAGTTCTGAGTTTCCTTTAGTCCTGTGGCAACTTGCCATAGTACATTTCAAGTATGCTTTTTGTAGCCCATCTTTATTTTTGCAAATAACAAGGCAGCGAACATACCCAGCATATCTTCTTCCTCTCATTTTCCCCACAACAACCCTATGAGGTGAGTTCAGCTGAGAGCGAGTGACTAGACCCAGCTCACCCAACTATGGCAATGGGAGGATTTAAATTCAGTTTCATGCTTTCTAGTCTGGTGCCTTAACAGCTAGACCAAACTGGATCTCAAGTTAGAACTGAAATGTGTAGAATAAATTCTGAAATAAATTCATCCTTCAAATTCAGCATATGTGGGTAGTTACTGTTGAAATTCTTAATTCAAATTATTGAGGAGAATAGATATTCTAGAATTGAGCATTTTATATGTCAGACTATTGTTTGGAAAATTCAAGGCAAGGTTTATGCCCTCTGGGCTCTTCACTATATTTTAAAGAGATGTCCCATTTTTGTGGCATGTTTTTATGGTATTATATGTTGATTTAAAACAGAATAAAGCTTATTTCTGCCAATTAGAATTTTATCAACATTTATTTTTTGAGAGGGTTTGAAATCAATTTTGAAAACACCACAACTTTACTGCTGCTGCACAACTCAAAATGTTTACATAAATCTTATCTTTTAAAAGTCCAAACAGGGCTATAATCATTATGGAATAGCTTCAATTATTTGATATGCTAATTCCTAATTATCTTAATATTTGAAGGGGAAGATCTAAGGTATAGGAAATATTTTTGTTTATGGAGTGTTATAAATGCCAACTATTGTGGATTTTTTTAATTAACTAAGCTGAAGCATTGTTCTTTTACATTGGAAATTATAGTCTTGTCATTGACAAATATTTTCAATAATTTTTACCTATGTTAATTTCCTTAATTTAGTCATTTGCACAAAGTATATTTTGATGACTTGATACTTTTTGCTATGATAAATTCATGATGGACTAAATATCTTTGAAGGAGCTGGGACTGCACTGGCAGAGATTGGCAGCCAGTTAAATTCTAGTCAGCAGGCTTTCTCGATAAAGGAGAGATTGTGAGATTGCCCACTTGCACTCTGGATTGTTATGCCTTGTGAACAGACTGCAGCAACTAAGGTTGTAGTTGGGTCATGAGTAAGTGGCTGGGAATGGAAGGATTTCAAACAACCTCATAGCAGTGGTGCAATAATTTCTTAAACACTTTTGAAAGTAATTAATTTACAGTTACAGATTTTTGGAGCAGCAGGATAAGAGAATTTGACTTGGTGGATCAATTGTTCTGGATTACAAAAAAAAACTTGGTAAAAAGCATAACAAGGATTTATCTTACTATCTTGAGCTGCTTCAGATTTTATGCTTTTAAAACAGTAATAAAATAGCCAACCAATGTATTTTGACATAAGCATGTGCTTAGAGATGAAATTAAAAAGAAATATAAAAAAACAATTCATACAGGAGAGCAATCTTGTCTTATACCTAATACTGTAATTTATTCTTGACTGGAAATATTTATAAAAATACAGATGTAAAAATGCAGTATGTTATTAGAATGCATAATGTAAGAAATCAGAATACATTGCAAATGATAACATTTCTAAAGGAAAAAAAAACGATCCCACAATCAATTCCCAGTAAAAAATTAACTTTTACTCAAACAAAAACCAGTTCTAGGTCAAGGGCAGTGTATTCAAAAGTGTATTCATTTCTTAAAAAGATGTTTCTATTGATTTGCATTACTGAAGAAATGCTGAAATTATGAACAAGCATAAAATTGATTAAATGATATCTAGTAAAACTGGCCATAAAAAAGAACATATAGTATATTGTGCAATTAATTGTCGCAACCGGCATTGCAAAAACAATCCTGCCATGTGTCCCAAAATTGCCGCTCATTGGCTTGCAAAATCTTTCACAAAGAACAAACCAAGAGGTAGAACATTGATGTATCTACAGTAATTCCCTAAGCTGGAGTTATCTGTATTATTAGATGCTAGCTGGCTCAGGAAAAATCTTACTGTTGGATATAAACTGTTGAGCATAAACACAAAACCCAGTTTAAATATAAATCCAACAGTCAGCTTAATATCAGCTAGGAAATTCCCCCTCCCCTTCTTTTATTCACCAAAACAAACTTCCCCAATTATATTGCTCAGGCTGACTCGTGCCTCTCAACTCCATGGAGGGTTTAGTACAATATACCAATAATGCAAACATCTCCACAGAATATGAATACTTCTGAGCAAAGCCAGGTGTACTAAAGAAGGGTGCTGATATTATCCAAATGTTCTGATGGATGGAAAAGACAGCAGCATCTTAATATTAAAAAAAAACTAGAGCATGAAGCATTGAAATTATGCTTCTATGAAATGCAGTTTTTAAAGTGTATAGATTGTTATCAGATGCTGAAGATTATAGTAGTTGATACAACACAATTAACATTTATAGGAAATGCAGCATCAATATTATAAAATCAAAATCTTATGAAGATAAAAACACGAATTTAAATTTTCTGTTGCCTTGGAAAAAATGCTTAGACAAAGTTAAAACGGGGCCCTTCATTCTACTGCAGTGAATAAACACGGGCTTGGATGAAACTGTATAATTACCAGCAGAAATAAAAATGAGATCAGCTGGTAATTATACAATTTCATCCAACCCACTAATGAAAAGGCTAATTTCCATAAACAGAATATCCCAGTGCTTAATGAATGGAGATCTCCTGTGTAGGCAAGAGGGAGGAGCTGTACTAGTTGCACTGTGAAGAGTGGAATATAAGTTGGTACTTGGAAGAACAGAAACTTGGAATGCTCTGAGAAAGACAAGTACACTAACACTAATTCCAGAATACTGTGTTGGTCCAATATCACTTTTTTTAATACCTGCTAGTTAAAAAACAATAGTGACCCTTTCTCATTCTCCTCCCCTTCCCTGTATTTATAAAAATCTGCAAAGATACACTGAAAGAAGAGGAAGTGCATTTCCATCCAGTCCAGCTGAGACTTCTGTATTGCTTGGCATTCTACCCAAACACTCCAATTATCTGTTCATTTCAGAAGCTGCCCATGGCAAAGAGGATCGTACGGCTTCCTAAAGATTCAGAACCTGTTGGAGCACTTAAAAGCTAAACATCTTTAACAATGTCCCCATACTCTGGTTTCTCTTCAGATCGTATAACTATGTCCCCCTAGCAATTGATATTGATCTTTCTGCCCCTCTGTATAAATGTATGTGTGTATGTATGTATGGCACAAAGGTATCTTTATATAGCACAAGAGTACACAGCATGGATACTGCTGATATTTCAAATGGGACAGAATATGTTAAAAAATATACTTTTAACCAAGTCCAAAATCCCGGGAGTTTATAAGTCATCTACAAAAACAAAGGACTGGCAAAAATTCTTTCAGAATGTACTCCAAAGCAAAGCTGCTAGTTGATTTCAGCTGTAATAGTTCTGCTTCAATTTGATGTTGGAAGAGATGTTCAGATTTTCAGAACAGTAACTGTATAGTCACATGAAGAAATCCTTTGTAGGAGATTCAGGAAAGAGCTTGACAAAAGGAGATACATGCAGAATGTGCTGGGTAGGAATATTCATCTCCAGCTGACACAATTCCAATACTTTCACTGTTGTCTTTATAAATACTGCATTGCTTTCAATACAGTATGGAAACTGTCTACTGGAAGTGATGAATTCAGACTAGTCATCTATAGTTGGCAACCAAAAGGCCTGAATAAAGAACAGAAGATAATGTTAATGTTCAAGAAGGTTTGTCTTAAAACAATGCCAAAAACTAATATACAGCATCAGCAGGCAATCCTGGCTATATTGTGATGGCCACCTATGCCCTTTATTTAACAGCTATCCAAATGATTATGCAGCAGCTGTGCAGAGACAATATTTTTCTACTCCATTACTAATAGGGAAGTAGCATCAATCAGAGAGGTAACCCAAGTTGCAAGCACTTCCTGCAGGCAAGGTTGTAGGGGTGTACAACGGTGGGCAACCAGCATTCATGGCCCTTTAGAAATTCAGTTTCTAAACTGTGATACAGTTTTTACTTTATAAGAATCTTCGTATGTTCCCTGACTGTCTTTAACAACCTGACTTTTCTGGTATTACATTGTGATTGATTTAATGTGATACTAGAAGATTAAAACAATGCACCTACACATTTTTCAGCCACCACTAGTTCAGTAACGCAGGGGAATAGCTTAATGAACAGCTTAGCTTCATCTGTCACAAAGTGACATAATTAACACAATTCACATCAAGAGAAAAGACCATTTTAATTCAATTATCTTTTGTTGTGTCAGTAGAATTCTCTAAGCAGAAATGCATAAGAATATTTGTAGATGTATATTTGTAAGGAACTTTTTGGCAGAGGAAAAATAGGCTAGAAGAACATTATGTATATATGGAACAGCATTTTTATCATTAACACCACTATTACATTCTGAATGTAAATGATCCATTATTACAACCCAAATATATTTTAAAATAAATTATTTTGGTTTTTATTAAATAGGAGTGTTGGGAGAAGATCAACCACAAAATCAAATTCAGTATACCAATTTGGTATAATACAGAAACCAGAATGCATATATGTAGGACAAAAATGCATGGTGTTTATTTAAATCAATCTGAGTGCCAAACATTTTCTATTTCAACTATTCCAATCCACATTTACTTGACTGGCATAGGCCAATGCGATTCTTAAAATGATACTCTTCCATATACCAGAGCTTTTAAATAATACTAAAGGAAGGATCAGCCTCTGAATAGACATCATCTGAAATATGTCTTACCACTCTTTTAAAATATTTATTTAAATAGAAAAATGAATATTTTTCTGCCTACCCAGAGAGTCATCCAAGCATACAGAAATAATTGTCTATTGCAGGGTGTCAAACTTGATTTCATTGAGGGCTGCGTCAAGGTTATGCTTGCCCTTGGGGGCCAGGGTAGGCGTGGCCAACTTGATGTCAGAGGCATCTGTAATGGCCCGGGCACTCTGCCCAGTGAAAACGGGTTCCCGCTTGGTTCTCAGCTGCAACAGCCTCCTGCCACCCTCTGCCAGTGAAAACAGAGCTCAAGGGGACCATGCGCATGCCCCCCACAAGCTCCGATTTTGCTGGCAGAGGGTGGCAGGAGGCCGTCGTGGCTGAAAATGGAGTCCGGGAGGACCCTGTGCAGCCTTCCTGAGCTCTGTTTTTACTGACAGAGGCACCACAAACCAGTCCTTTGCTGTTTCTAGGGTGGCCCTATGGGCCGGATCTGGCCCCCGGGCCTTGTGTTTGACACCCCTGGCCGATTGTCTAACCTGAGTGTGACTTGGGGGGGGGGTCTTCCTTACAGAAATAACATATTCATTTGTGACAATGAGAAAAATGGAGCTATAGTTTTGCTTTTTTTTAAAACAGCATTTTGGTAAAACGAAGTAGCAGAATGATATCCCATCAGCATCACTTTGCCACTTCTCCATGTTCACCATGTTCTATTTGCAGTAATGACTTCAACCAGCACATATGCCTAACAGGAATTTTCAGAAAATAAAAATGACTGTAGCCTAGTGGCTTTGTTTGAAAATATCTGTCTGCCTAGAAAAAAAGATTAGGGATATTAAGTGGAATATGGACAGTATATCTGGGCTGTCAAAAATAAATGCTTAGATAGTTTTCTACACTTTTCTACTACTATCTCATGGAACAACCCATGGAATTATAAGGTTGTACATGACATTACAGGTCATCTATTCCAACTCTTATCCAGTGCAGATCTGCTAGAGGTTCTCTGACAAACTTTGTACAGAAAACTTTGAGCAAAGGAGAACTCACCATACCATGTGTTTGCCTGTTCCACTGGCTAATAATGTTGTGCAATCAGAAAGTCCTTCCTGTCATTTAGCTTACCCACAGTTCTTTTAGTTTTAACCTGTTGGTTCTGGTCCTTTAACCTGTTGGTTCTGGTCAATATAGAATAAACCCATTCCTTCTTCAGCATTATTTCAGATATTTGATGGTTACAATCTTGTCTCTTAGATGCCTCATGTCAAAGAGTGTACAGACTAGTGGAAAACAAATGCACCTGACTGCTTCCTGGTAAAAAGATATTTTGGGAATAACCATACCTGCTCTAAAAGTTTTTGTTGCATTGTTTTTAATTTGGAAGCCTTTTTACAAATAGGCAAACTCCCCATGGTGGCCATTTTGTGAGATAATTAATAACATGGTCTCAACGTTTCAAAATAATGTAGAGAATTAACAAGAATTACAAAGAGTACTGATACAGTATTGGTAATAATCTGTTGATCTTTTTAACTTGAATACAATCAATCCAGAAGGTACCAATCAAAGATAACATTTGTAGGTCAAGTCTGAAAAGAGGGGTCCTTGGTGCTCTCTGAGCTGGGTTGTTTTCTTGAAGATGTTAGGTAAGGAAACATTTGTTAAGAAAACAACCAAGCTCAGAAACCACCAAGGTCCCCCCTCAATCCAAAAGGACTTGATTTGCTTAGAGTTTTGAATCAACTTAGGTTTCCTTACCATATTGGAGCATGCACTGGCAAATGTCATAAACTTGGGGTTGAATTGCAAACAGGTAATGGGTCCCGTGTGTTTCCCATCAAGCACTGCTACCTTCATTCCAGTCTCTCCATTCCAGACATGAATCTTCCCATCCTCTGATCCTGCAGTTTCAACCAGAATCAACAGAATCAGGACTGATTGATTCATTAAGCAACTCAAGTCAATAGCGATAAATAACACATTGTAGCAAAACTGAAGCATATAAAAATCCTCCCCAAAAGATACAAACCACTTGAATGATTTATGGAAGTGACCCTGAAATTATTTTATATAATCGGTGCTGCATTTATATATACATAGGAAATATAATTCTCTTACCAATCATTATAAACTGAGAATCTGGAGTGAATGAAGCTTCCAATGTGACAGCTTTGCTATTATTATATCCCTGTAAAAAGAATAAGATGAACATAAATTTGAACAAACTCTGAGGTGGGCTGGATGAGAGAGATGATGACTGGCCCAAAGTCATTCAGCTGGCTTCCATGTCTAAGGGAGGCCCAGAACTCACATTCTATTGGTTTCTAGTCCAAGTGCCTTAACTACTATGCCAAACTACCTCTCAAATTAAGCTTTAATTAATGGGAAAAATCTGAATAGCATCACATGGACACCACCTATAGTTTTCCCAGGAAAATTTAAAAACCAAAGAGTGGAAAAATTGTTACCACCTCTGAACTATTTAAAAATCCAAAATGAACCACAGAACAGGGGATTTTTCTTCTTGTCATGATTAATGAGAATGTATACTTGTAGCTATGAATGGTAGTCAAATTTAAAATAATTTATTTCTTAACTCCATGGGTTGAAAGAGTGTAAGAGGATGGGAGGATACTAAAACGTAATTTAAAGCGTGATTTTATAAAGACTTTATCAATTACCTTTTCATCTATTTATTCCAGTAGATCTCTTTCAATTAAGAAGTTACCCTCAGATATTCCAGCTTAATGGCTCAGTTTTACATAAGGGATGCACTATCAAACCTCAATTTTCACTTAATAAAAAGGGGCCAGAAAAAATAACCTGATGAATTAAGTACCCTTATTTTCAGCTATGGTAGTGTCTTCTACTGAAATGCTAACTCAATATTCCACAAATCTTGTCTTAATTCTAAAGAACATCTAAAACACAGACCATATGCGGAGATATAGAAATGTTCCTCACTGTAAACGTATGAAGAACCGCTCCTTTAAAGGCATCAATGAGTCGTATGATCCCTCCATTAGTTGAAATAAGAACGAGTTTTCCATCATTGCTGAACTTTAGGCCGGTCCACTCACAGGTTCGGTCATATTGCATCTTAAAGGTAGCAAATGGACCCTTCAAAAAAGAAAGACATATGTTGGCATGCAGCAAAACTATTCCATGATGTTCAGATCATTTTGCAAAGCCTACTACACTAGGCAGACCTTGTCTGACTTGGGAAGGAATTTTCATTTTCTTAGACCACAGAACTTGCCAAGGATACTGGAAAAGTGTTTATGCTTCAATTCCTAGAAGTCTCAAGTTCAATGTTTTTTGCCTTTATATGCCTGAATATTAAATCTACGATCCTAGGAATTTCATCCCAGAAAAGATGCCATATTTAGAAATCTTATGAGGTGTTTTCACTTAAACATACTACTATCATGCCCCTGGTGGAGACTGACTCTGAGGAAGAGGAGGAACAGCCAACAGGGAGTGGGAGTGTGGCTCCAGAGGTGGTGAAGGAGGCTGGGGAAGGGCAGAGGCCGGCTGAGCAGTGAGAGGAGGACCCAGGCCTATCCCCTATCCATCCTAGGTCACGCAGGGAGAGGATCAGGGAAAAAGCGAGGTCTACTCAAGAGATTACCATGATCCTCCTCATGGCTTGCAGGTGGGAGCTATGTATATAAGTTTGCAACTGCGCAGTTAGAATTTGCAGGAGTCAATTTAGTGTTCACCATAAAAGAGGTTTATCTTTGCTGGCGTTCTTCCCATGGACTTTTCTCGGTTATTTTACTGGAGTTTATGATTAGTTATCTTGGCTTGCTTCGGAACTCTCATCAATGCGGTTTGTTTTGGTTTTCTGTTTGCCTCATTATTTACTTTTGTGACTTTAAACTGTGCCTAATAAAACAGCAAAGTTAAGTTGAAGGCCTTACCGGACTTTAATATATGTTTTGGGTTTTGGGTTATTTTGAGAGACTACAGGTCATCACAACTACTTACCTTATCAAAGGAGCGAAGATCATAAAGTTTCACCATTTCTGAATTGACCCCTGCTGCAAAAATCAGCCCCTCTGGATCAAATGAGCATACAGGTTTTCCTTGTGGATGCATCAGACCCTAGATTGTGAATACACACACACACAGGCATATATATCCATCCAGAATCTGATATAAGATGACCAGCTATATAAATGTTGTAACACACACACCTACCTACCTGAAAACAAATGCATCTTTGTGAGCTACACTAGTTACCTGCTTGCTTCAAGTAGCTGGTCATTACCTATAAAGCCCTCTTTGGTGATGGGCCAAATTACTTGAGGGACTGGACTGTCTGTCTACCAGTTATTTGCTTGGCTTATTTAATCTCCAAGTTCCTTTGATAAGCAATATGATCTACTGGGATTTTGGAAGCAGCATTTCTGTGCTGTGGCACCTGTCCTCTGGAATGAGCTTTCCCCCAAAATCTGATTGACTGATCCCACCTGTTGATGTTTCAAAAGAACTTGAAGAATGCTGTACACCTGAGGCTTTGAGTTGTATAGGTTTGTGTCACTTACATTTCTGTTGGGTGCTTGTCATCTTTTTCATCTTTTATTCTTATCTCTTACTGTATTTTTTGTTTTGTTTTGAATAATTGTACTTGTGGGCTACCCAGAGGCATTGGGAGTTGGGCAGGGTATGAATTTAAATAATAATGATTAATTAAAGCCAGGATGTCTTAGAAGCATCCATGGTTGATCTATATAAATTCTCCAAACTGTTAAGTAGTTAGAACCATATGCTTGTGTTCCCAAAAAAAAGAAGCCTTTTGATTTTGTGTTCATTTTCACTGTTGAAAAGTCAACTCCCATGTGATTAAGGTAAATCTCAGGTTGAGTTAACAAATGCAACTGCGTGTATTAACAGCGATCTATTTAAATAAAATGATACCATCTCTAACAGAAATGCAAAACAATCATTTCTGAAATACTGCTTTTTTTTTTTTTTTTGAAAAGGAAGTGATCTAGAAATGTACTGAAATGTTTGCACAGGAAATAAAATCTTTAATCTACAATCTATATAACACTTGAAATACTTTAACATGCTTCATGTAGACTTTAGAAGTTTACCTGACAATTTGGTGACCGGAGATCCCAAAGTCTGATGGTCTTATCAAGTGAGCCAGATATAAAGGTATCATCCACTGGAGACATAGATAAAGCAACAACTCTGAAATGAAGAGGGAAAAAAATAATACAGCCAAAGCAGTCTGCATCATATGCCATATGTAATATTTTATTCTTTGAAAAAAGATAAAAATGTAGGCAACATAAGTAAAAACAGAACAAAATATATTGTAGATTAGTTATAATGACTCTTATATGTTTAATTCTTCCTAGAGTCAAAGCAATATAAATTATAAGCTATACTTTACTCCTCTTACCTCTTGCTATGTCCTGGAAAGTATCTAATGTATTTATTGTCATGAAGAGAAAGATATCTGATAGTATCTGTATGGAAACATCAACAAGGCAAACATTATATAAAAGTACTCTCTAATGCAGCTTGCTTATTAGAGTAAGACTTTTGTTAATATTAGCCGACTAGGTTTGCACATCTCACATTTTAATAATGGAATTAACTATGGTATCCAAGTTCACAAACATTCAGCTATGAACCACAGTTTACCCATGCATACAAAGATTTAGCGCTATTTAGGCATATGGTTTGGTATTTTATATGAACTAAACACATATAAAAATCACAGTGAAAACAAACCATAGCACAACAAAATATGTAAATCCAATCAGTTATTGTGGGTGTAAACAATAGTCACGAAGTGTAACCTTCTGCAAGAATCTGGCTCAAAAAGTTACATACAGTATTTCTATATCCACAGATATAGAACCAGAATTCAGTTAATTGCTATAAAAATTTGTATATGAAACACTGATTAAACCTTATATTTTAAAGCAGATAAACAATGTAAAAGCAACAAATTAGTAGCATAAACCATGAATATGAAATCAAGAATAATGTGTAATATTTTATTGCAGCATTTCTTAACTAATTTAAATGTAGATGATTGGTAAATACAGGATGAATGCATTGGAAAGTTGCTAAATTATAGGATTTTCTTAAAAAAAAACATTTATCTGTAGGTGATCAAGTCTCAAAATATATGTAAGTCAGCTGGTACAACAGATTAAGTATACTACAGGATAAGTCAATTTTTCTTTCTTCAAATATAAACTAAATGATACCAATTTATGTCTGCAAACTCATATTTCTTCAAGTTTTTCTATTTTGTGTAAACAATCTGCTCCAGGATTTTCCGATGAATCAGCAAGCATTTATTTCAAGGCATAGTTTTACAGATAAACGTGAATGAACAAGATTAGACCTAAAAGTTTGAAGAGCCGGCTCTCCACTAAACAAAAGAGCTACAAGGAAATCTGCAACATATACAAGCATTTGAGACAAACCGGTGCTTTCCAGAGAACAACTGTTACCTGGCACCAAACACCAAACATGGGCAGGAAATTTCTTCTTGTCGTAAAGCTCTGCCCCAGGCAAGGCAGTGGCCTGTACAGTTATCTCCTGTACCGGGTGGTATCATAGACCCTCAAACTGTACAAACTACTACCTCAGCCTGGAACCAGGCAATGTGCAGTAAGCAGAAGAAAAGCTAAAAAATCAAGAATTCTTCATAAAGGATGGTATGAATAGACTTGGTTCACATTAAAGGTATAATTCAGACACACTAATTTCTAACAGAAAAAAGAAAATTAATTTATCTGTGTCTTTGTATAGAATAGAATAGAATCGAACAGAACAGAACAAAACAGAATAGAATTCTTTATTGGCTAAGTGTGATTGGACACACAAGGAATTTGTTTCGGTGTAAATGCTCTCAGTGTTCATAAAAAGAAAAAGAAAAAAATACATTTGTCAAGAATCATAGGTATAACACTTAATAGTAGTCAAAGAGTACAAATAAGCAATCAAATCATACTAGGAAACATAATAATAAGTGATCAAATCAAATCAAACCAAACTAGTAAACAGTCAATTTTTTTAAAAAAAACATAAGGATACAAGCAACAAAGTTTTACATTCATGCAGTCTTCAGTGGGAGGAGATGGGTGAAAGGAAGGATGAGAAGATGAATAGTAATAGTAATGCAGACTTAGTAAATGGTTTGACAGTGTTGAGGGAATTATTTGTTTAGCAGAGTGATGGCGTTCCAGAAAAAACTATTCTTGTGTCTAGTTGTTCTGGTGTGCAATGCTCTATATGTATGCTTTCTCATAAGAAAAATGGCCAAGATATTTCCATTATTATGTATTAAATACAGTGATTAACATAACAACATAACATAACAACATAACATAACATACATAACGGTGCTCTTCTCAAATACTTTTTTTTAACATCAAGCATTTGGAAAGCAAAGAAAGAATTTGATCAGGATTACTCCACCTGTATCATCTTGCAGCATATAAAATTGATTCTCAGTGAATGAAGATGAATATATGTGTCCCGGGATAATATTGCAGGGTCCAACTTTGGTTGGTTGCCGGGACCAGAGTTTTAATCTTCTGAACTTGTGCTGGAGCCCATCTTCAATTAACTTCTCTCTAGCTAGAGAAAAGTTCTCTGAAGATGGGCTCCAGCACAAGTCCAAAAGCTCGGAAGACAAAACTTCTGGTCCCGGGACCGACTCAGATTGGATCTTGCTTCTCAGTTTCACAAATTTGTGATACAAGCAGGAAAGTAATAGTAACACAGAGTAAATAATATAGATTAAGCACAATAATAAGTTACATACAAAGATGCATTAAAATGCTCCATCCAACAGCCATTTGGCATCATCAATACACATTCACTGCTAATGTGATAATTAGAATGATACATCTTCTACAATGCCCTCTGGGACCGACTCGATCAGAAATTTCTCTGTCTTTAACGTGGTCTGGTTACTGGGCTAGAACTATATAAATCTATATTTTATTAAAGCTTTTAATTTTTAAAATATTAGATAATTTCCCCTTTTCTAGTTCCTGCATTTCTGACACAAGACAGGAATACACCAATTATGTCTAATTGTATGCATCACAATCCTGAGACAGGCTGGAGACATTGTTAAAGTTTTGTTCCAGTGCCTGGAAGCAGAGTAGGTCTGTATGAGAGAGAACAGACTTAAATAAATGCTAGCTAGTTGGAGCTACAATACTATTTATATTCTAGGACTCCAACTCTTTGTCTCTGGATGGAGTTGCATTGCCCCTGGAAGAGATCTATGACTTGAGAGTCCTCCTGGATTTGTTTTCTTTTGTTTAATCCGGAGATGGAATCCGCAGTCATGAGGATCTTTTCCAATCTTTGGCTGATGCAGCAGTTTTGACCTTACATGGCACAGGAAGACCTGATTACAATAGCCCATGAGCTCGTTACCACCCTTATTAGACTTGTCATGCCCCTGGTGGAGACTGACTCTGAGGGGGAGGAAGACCAGCCGACAGGGAATGGAAGTGTGGCTCCGGAGGTTGTGGAGGAGGCTGGGGTAGGGCAGAGGCCAGCTGAGCAGTCAGAGGAGGACCCAGGCCCACCCCCTATCCATCCTAGGGCACGCAGGGAGGAGGAGAGGATAAGGGAGAGATGTGGTCTCCTCGGGAGGAGAGGGCCTTGATCCTCTTCATGGGTTGCAGGTGTGACAACTGAATAAGAGTTTGGACCTGTGTACTGGCCAAAGCTGGAAACAAATTGTGTAAATATCTCTAGTTTATAGTTCCTCTCTGAGTTTGGCGTCCTTACCAGTATGTGTTATCTGTGGACATCCTCCAGCCCTTATCTTGCCTGGTTTGTGTTGCTTTTTTCCTTCTTCGTGTAACTGTGTGGGAGTTGTTTTGTCTTCCGTCAAGGATATTCGGAGCTTGGAAGCAAAGTGAAGGAATAAAAGGGGCTTCATCTGTTTTCTGTGACTCTGTTTGTTTTGTATCCCACCCTGGGTCATCACAAGACTGCTGCATTGTGTCCTACATAGGGCTGCCTTTGGAGACCATCTGGAAGCATCAACAGATGCAAAATAAAGTGTCTCAGGTATGAAGGAAATAAATAAGTTATTCTTTTATAATAGTGTATTAAGCTATGATGTTCCTGTTGTTGTGTATTAACCTCAGAGTATATTCAGTTAAATCGTATGTGATGACTTGCTACAATCTTCTTGGAAAACAGGAACATCCGCTCAAGGCAAGGCTACAAGTAAATAAGATAGGAACATCCGCCCAAGGTGAAGTTACAAGTAAACAAGATATCTGTTGTCTTGAAGAAATTGTCAAGTCGACCCCTTACCTTACCCCTTAGCTTATAGTACGACTTAGAGATAATGAGGGAACTGGGGAGGGCTTCTTAGATGTGGCAAGCATTGTGTAGAGCAGCGGTTGCCAACTGGTGGGCCGTGATAAAATTTTGGTGGGCCGCAGATAAATCTCACCGCCAGAGCACCCCCCACAAAGCAATTAATCCAGGCTGCACAGAAACACAAGGCTGCGCCTCCCACATGGCCTGCAGGAACCCTCCCCGCCCACTCATTCCTTACCCCGTAAACTTGCCTGCTAAATTGCTATTTTTTCTTTTTCCAACCATCATCTGTTCTGCTGTGCCGGGAGATTTAGATTAGCTAGGAAGCAGGAAATGGTTGGATTTCTTGCTTTCTAGCTAGTCTTTAGATCTTCGGCTCTGCTTTTAAGTACAGCTGAACCTCCATTAGGAGTGAAGGTTTGCTTGCAAGCAAATTCAGTGCAGACTCATGGCAAGCAAACTTGAGAGAGTGAGCTAGCCGATGGCAGATAGATCTCTGAATGAATCTGTGATTCTGTGAGCAACTCAATCTGCCTGCTTTGCCTGCTTTTGGGTAAAAGTTGCTCTTTTTTTATAAACAATTCAATATTTATATAAATATTTATAATATTTACATACAAGCCATGCCCAGCCAGTCACATGACCAAGCTACACCCACAAATTAGGCCATGCCCAAGGACCAGTTAGTGGTCCCTGGGATCTAAAATTATGAGTTTGGTGGTCCCTGAGGTCCAAAAGGTTGGCGACCCCTGGTGTAGAGGGTATAAAATGTATTGCTTGAATATTGGATTTTGCTCTCCTTGTACTCAATCCACTTGGGAAGACACTTGGAGGCTGCCTTTGCAAACACTTTTTGAAATAAACCTTTGAACTGTGAACCAGACTTGTCTCCGTATTGTGAGGATAAAATTATTCGTGACTTACATCTCACAGGTGCCTACCGGAGTGGACCACTTATACCTGTTTTTTTAGGTCTCTAACTGGTTTCCAATTAGCTTCCAGGTACAATTTAAAGTGCTACTTTTAATCTATAAAGCTATTTATCCCTTGACACCTAGTTACTTGCAGGACTGCATTTCCTCACTAGAGTTGGTCTCAGCACTTCCAATCATTTCAGAAGCAGCTGTTTGTCTCCTATTCAGGGTAAGTTAGGGGCAGAAACCCAGAAGCTTTGTTTTTCCATGATGGGACTGGCCCTCTGGAAAGACTTCTATATGGAGATTTTTCCATCTCCAACATTGTCCACTTTCTGAAAAAAAACAAACTGAAGTTTTTTTCCCCAAAGGATCTTTGCTTCCTGAAGTTATGAATTCGGCCAAGGTTCAATTAGCTTATGTTTATTTTATAACTCCCTGTATTTTGTAAGCCACTCAGTTTTATGATTGTAGCAAGATACAAATTTGTTCAATAACAACAATAACAATAATCCAACAAATATTTTATTAATTGAGGATAGCAATGAACCAAAAGTAAAAAACTGCTGTCTGTGAAAGAATTAGAAAAAGCAAAAGACCTGGAAAACTAGTTGTTACCAAAGAATCAGGAGGAAATGTACGAAAAGGAAGCCCTGAAAGAAAACACATGCCAACTAGATGTAAATTTTCAGAGACTTTCAAGTTAAAATGTACTTTGTGAGATTTCAGACTTTACAGGAACATGTAAAGGATTTTAGGCCTTAATGACATTTGTGTGTTGTCTATGGTTGCTAAGAAAGGCATACAAGGTCTCCAGAGTAAATAAAGAAATTGCTGAATTAGGCAAAAGGACTTGCAGAAACCAAAGATTTTTGAGGGAAACTTTGAAAGGACAAAAGTAAGTGAAAAATTGCTGCTTAAATGGATAAGAGGGTCTACCGGGATTGATATGCTTAACAGGGTATTTTATTGATTTGATAAAGGACAATGATTTGCATTTTTACTGATATGCACTGTTCCAATAAAGTATATAATTTACTGTCATCTAATGATCCGGAGGAAGTGGGAAAGAGAAATAGCCTGTTTCTCTTGTTTGCAAGTTAAAGCAATAAAAGCCATTCCATTAAACGTACAATTTATTCCTTGACAAACACTTTGTTAATTCTTCAAAGAATAGAGAAAAGAATAGACAAACGTCCTTTTAACCAATATTAAATTGCTAGTGTATGCTTGCATTTCATTCTGATTTACTTCTGACTCAACGCTGATCAGGAAATTATCTTAAAGCAGTGCTTTAAAATTAGGATTTAAAATTAAGAAACATTACATTATCAATTAACAGCTTCATGAATAGACTATTAATTTCAGTCAAAATCAGTCTTCTCAAATCTTCAATACTTATTAAAGTGTTAAATATCCAATATGCATAGGCAACTATCAGGAAAAATGGCTCACTTACCATCTATTTTATTGGAACTGTAAACAACTGTGTTGGCAGCATGAGTGTATCTGATGAGATCAACTCCATATTTTTTACTATAAAGTGTTCTCTTGGGCCTGCCAAGGGGGAAAAAAGTAATAATTATAGAGAAATTCTGTTTTGCCATACAGGTAGTCCTTGACTTAATGACTGTAACTGAGCCCAAACTTTTCATTGCTAATCAAGGTAGTTGTTAAATGAGTTTTGCCCCATTTATGGGGTTTTTTTTGTCAGTGCAGTTTTAAAGTAATTAAATGAATCTGGCTTTTCCCCCATTGACTTTGTTGTTGGAACCTAGCTGGGAAGGTTACAAATGGTGACCACAGGACAGCACAGCTTCATAAATACATGCCAGTTGCTAAGCGCCTGAATTTTGATCATGTGACAGTGGGGATGCCATAATAGTTATAAATGAGAAATATGGTTACTTTTTTCAGTGCTGTTGTAACTTCAAATAGTTGATCACTAAGCAAATGATTACCTGTAACAGCCTGTACACAATGTTAACTCATAAGATAGAATAACTATAAGCAGTGTGTGTGTGTGTGTGTGTGTGTGTGTGTGTGCGCGTGTGTGTTGACAACCTGAATTTTCATCATATTGTATTTCTACTGTGTGCAACTAAAATATGTTTATATTTAGTGATATTTAGTTTCCTCAGCAAGACTAGTTTTTGGTTAATATATATAAAAAAGAAAACAATTAAAACATTAGGTGACCAAGTCAAATTACACATTATCAAATATAGAAATATATGTGCATTCTCTAGTCACCTTGAACAAGACTTCAATTAATAGCAGGGTTGTAATTTTGCAAGATGACTATTAGCATTTTTTAAAATTTAAATTTAGTCCTTTCATGTCAAAATCTCTAAGTCTAGATATAATACCTTGCAAGGCATGGAGGTGCTACAGTCTGTGTTTTTTATGATTAGATTTCAGCAAATTAGCAGAAGAGCTGGAAGCACCCTTCTTTTTAACCCAAATATTTAGGGAATAAGCTCTCTGCTATAATCTAACTTGGAAAATGCTGGTCACTTTAATGATAACATTTAATGAAACTTTTAAATTTGAAATAAAATCCAGGACTAAGTGTATTTTATTTTTAAACATATTGATAGTACTATTATTGAATTATAACCTACCATATTTGCTGGCGTATAAGACGACTGGGCGTATAAGATGACCCCCCCACTTGGAGGCATGTTTTTCAGGGCAAAAAAGTCATCTTATACGCTGGCAAATACGGTAACTAATCATCCAATATTTACACAGTGTGTATGTTATTCTGTGTTGGGAGTGAAGGACATTTGAACTCTCTTAGATGGACTGTCTAAAGGAGCATGTCTCGGAGTAGGCAGGCGTTACTCCAGAACCCTGGCCCTTCCCCTCGGGCTTTCCCGCAACAGAGTCCTCTTGCAACGCGTCCGCTAGGTCAGCCAAATGATCCCGGCGGGGTTACCGGAAACGCCCTCCAGAAATCCCCGGGGCTGCAGCGGCAGGGCGGAGTGCCAGGGGCCGTGGGAGGAGCAGGAAGGCGGGCAGCCTTCACATGGCCCTGCCTGGGGCGACAGGAGCGACCCACGCTCTCGCTCCCCCCAGTCGCTGCAGCCTCGGGCGGAGCGAGGCGAGCGGGATTCGAACCTGATTCAGAAACGCGGGGAGGCTCTTGGCGGAAGTGACGTGGGGGATCCGGGAAGCCAGAGGCGCCTTCGCTGCGTCCCACAAGCATCCGAAAGCCGGCAGTGGATATACCGTATTTGCCGGCGTATAAGACGACCCCCCCACTTGGAGGCATGTTTTTCAGGGCAAAAAAGTCGTCTTATACACCGGCAAATACGGTATATTGCTCCCTAGACTGACACACAGAAAAAGCCCCTCTTTGAGAGAGATGAGCAGCTTAGAAATATGAAATATAAATAAATAAAACAGGACGCAATTTTAATAGTGACAGTGGAGAGGGATAACAGTATGGTTAACATTGATACTATATTTGCACAAGGTTTCAGTTCTATTTATATATTTATGAGGCATATGCCTGCTTGTCCTAACAACGATAATTGTGAGCAACTCACTCCAATAGCAATAAAAAGATAAAAGAAGCAATGAAAACCAGCACCCACAAAACAACTCCTGGCGCTCTAAGCAACACTCCCTAATACATAAACAGTCAGAATCACTGGGTTTCAGCCTTACCCCATCCCAATGCTTGGGAGAAAAGCCAGTTCTTTAAAGCTTTTTGGAAGGTCAAAGTGTTAGGAACGGTGTGGATCTTAGTGCCTGGCAAGAAATATTTGTTCCTGTTACCAGAAAAGTAGCTGAAGTAAAGCTATTTTTCTTGGCTGAAAGGTGAAAAACAGATCATTTTTCTGCAAGCTATCCAAAACCCTATTTAAGAGTCTAAGCTGGTGCAGATAAAACAACCACATCCCACCACTCCCATTATTTTAGATTTTAAACCATCTAAGTTAATAAAAGGGTCATGAAATCTTGAAAGTTAACTAACAAAAGATTTCTGGATATTTTCCCCAATATTCAACTGCTCTCCTTTTTGCTTTATACATTAAACTACATTCAAACTAATTATCAATAACATTTGCTTGAGAGGATACTGTACCTATCTAAATAAGAATTTTTCAAGTTTGAAGATTTAACAAATTTGTTTATTCTTACTTAAGGAACTGAGGTCAGCCTCATGCTCAAAAATTAAAGAATGCCTGGCAAGCGTGAAGGTCAAATACTTTGCTGACAGTTTTAGATTTGGGACAGTTTACAGCAAATGTAAACTGTATGTCTGATCATAAAAAGACAATATCTATCTCCAACTTCACTATCTACTTCATTAAAATCCACTAATATGAAACTGCATTTGCAATAATGATCCCCAAATCATTGAGTTCCCATCTATACAGAAAAATAAATACAGGACAATTCTTGAAGTAATTACAGCTACAATTTCATTTCTACTGGTTCACAGTAATGAAAGTACTTAAGTCACTTAGCAAATAAGTAATTGCCTGGTGTGATTACTAAATTAATTAAGGTCATAAAAGAGAATATTTGTAGCTCAGGGTTGAAATGAGTTCTTGGTGCTTTCTAAACTTGGCTGCTTTTTTGCAGACATTTACGTACCCAAATTAGGATAGCAAAAAGACTAGCAGAACACATCCATGAACACCTATCATTTGTCAAAAGACATGATGAGAACTCCATCATTTCACAACCTATGAACAGACTTAACCATAGTTTCAGCTGGGAAACTGACCATCCCAGACCAAGCCAAATCAAAAATGCTAGAGAATTCCTGGAAGCCTGGCTCCCTGATAAATCGGCCATCAACAGGCACATAGAAAGAAACAATATTTACATACCATTCAAAAGAGACAAGCCAAAAAGGAAACATAAAGACCAGAACACAACACCCAGTTGAGCACAGATTAATACCAAATTAACACCAGACCTGCAATCAAGAAGTAGATAATACCCCAATGAAAGAACTGCCAAACAAGCTAACAATAAACAGCCTAACCAAAGAATCACCAAGACAACTTCCACTAACACTGATAGGGCAAGCCACTAGAACTGTGGTTGCGAACCTATAACACACGTGCCACAGGTGGCACGCAGAGCCCTCTCTAGGGGCACACGCGCCATCGCCCCAGCTTGGCTCCACTGTGCATGTGCGCATGCCTCCCACCGGCCAGCTGGTCTTCAGGTCTCTGTCACGCATGCACGGGGTGGTGGGGCACATTCGCAGGGGCGGTGTGCATGCGCTTTGGACACTCAGTGGCAAAAAGGTTCATCATCACTACATTAGAATATAAACTGAGAGCAAACCCCATTCCTTACTAGCACTTACTACCTACTTTGGGTAATGAAATGTCTGCAAGAAAACAACCAAGCCCAGAGAGCACCAAGCACCTTTCATAGTTAAGCCCACTTCATATTTCACTATTAACCCTAAGTTAAATACATTTCTGAATATTGTCTCAAACGATGCACACTAAACCTACAAATATTCTTGCAAACTATTATCTATATTCCCCACCAGAATAATACTGTCCAACACAGCCTATGTTTGATTATCAAATGTGTACATTGCACATTTTACAAAGACAAATACAAAATAAACAACACTTCTTGAAACGGTGAGAAATTTAAGAGTACAGTACTGACCTAGATTTGAGAGCTTTTGGAATACCGCCACAGAAGACTTATTGATATTTTACATCATTTTATCTGTTTACAAGTCTACATAATCGAAAGACTCAATAAAAGCCAGTACAAATTGAAAGGAGATAGTCAGCACCCCCATAACGACGATAGTTTGTGACAGGAGTTTTAAACAGAGGTGCTTTCCATATATTTAGGCAGGGAGTGCTGCAGGTCCCACCCCTGAGGGAGATACACCTGGTGGGACCTAGAAGAAGGGCCTTCTCTGTGGTGGCTCCATCTCTCTGGAACATCATTCCTCCAGATTAGAAATGGTCCCTCATTAATCCTATTCCCAAAGGCACTGGAGACCTGGTTTTGCCAGTGGGCCTGGGGAACCCAGAGAGGGCTGGAACCCATCAAATGGCTAGTGTGACCTGCTGTCTTTGGGGAAGGAGGGTGGAAGTTGGTTTTTGTTTTTGTTTTGTTTTCCCAAATTTTGTTCTATTGTACTTTACTAATTTATTTGATTCGTTTTGTTAGTTCTTATTGTTTTTATTTTTATTTTTTGTTTTAAATATGATTTTACATTGTGTAAGCCGCCTTGAGTCGCCATGGGGGAATAGGTGGCAATATAAATCAATCATGCAATCAAATAAATAAATAAATAAATATTTAGAAAATATACATTCTGGATTAGAATGACTGAAATCAGACTTTAGCGAAATAGGGACATGAACAGAGTTTTAAAAGCGTACATTTAATTTAGGCTTATCGCATATCTTTCTCCAGAGTGATATTAAAAAATTGTCCCTGGTTTCTTTTATTTTCAGACGTTCTCCCTGCAACGCAAAGCCTCAGAGATGCACCTGAGCATCTACCTTAAAAAAAGCAACGCCTCCCCCCCCTCCCCTTAAAAGGTCCGCTCTTGGTGGATTGGGCTTGGGATGAAAAGAAAAGCCGCTTCGATGCTTCCCCAATCCACAAAGGCCGCCTCGTGCAGGGCCTCTTTTCCCGCGAAGAGCTCCTCGCATCCTCCCCACCCCACCCCGGCCACTCACTTTCCCTCCTGGCAGTCGTAGAGCACGATGGAGTCGTCGTCGCTGCTGGAGATGACGGTCTCGCCATTAGGGCTGAAATCGAAGCAGTTGATCTTGTCCGAGTTCTCGCGGAACACTTTGGCCACGCGGAAGCTCCGCAGCACGTTGTCCGTCAGCTTCATGCCGCCGCCGCCGCCGCCGCGGGGAAAGGGAGCCGGCGGGGCCTGCGCTCCGGCTAAGGTGAGGGGAAAACGGAGTCGGGCAGGGCTAGCCTGCGGCGGGGACGGGGGAACGGGAGAAGAAGGCCGAGCCGGCGAAGGACCGAAGCGACTTTTGCCCTCGGGCGGATTCCACTCAGGCTGCGGGAAAGAGGCGGCGGCAATTCCGGCTCATTGTGTCCGCCATTTTGCGGCTTTGGGGCGGCGGGGAGAGGAGTGGCGGTGGGGGCACGCGTGGGATTGTGGGCCACCGGAGGAAATAGAAGCGACGAAAAGGAGCAGCAACGGAGAGGCTACCGGTCTGGTGCATGCTGGGATACGCGAGTAAGGCCCGAGGCCAGCGAGGGGTGTTTTAGGGGGGGGGGGGGGGGGGGGGGGGGGGGGGAGAGGGAGAAGCTGAAAGCGCCCGCAACGGCCCTGAAGATGCCCTACTGCTGCTAGGCGGGGCTGTTGTGGGGATTGCAGCCCACCCCTACCTAAGGTTGGAAACCTTGTCCCTCTCTTCTCCTTTTGGAGACATTCGGGTCTCTGTAGGGTGCCATGTCTCTCAAATTTGGCAATTGAAAGATGCTTGGATTTCAAAAACTGCCTGGGGGACTCTGGGTATTGAAGTCCACACATCTTGTTCAGTCGCTACTCCATGGACCACAGCACACCAGCCCCCCAGTCCTCCACTGTCTTCCCAAATTCATGTTTTCAGGGTTCCCAAATTCTTTCCAAATTCAGGGTTTCCCCAAATTCATGTTTGTTGAGTCGATGACACTTTCTGGCCACTTCATCTTCTGCTGTCCTCTTTTCCTTTTGCCTTCAATCTTGCCCAACATCAGGGTCTTTTTCCAAATGAGTCCTCTCTTCTCATTTGTTGGCTGAAGCATTTGAGCCTCAACTTACCTATCTGTCCTTCCAAAGGTCAGGGTTGGTTTCCTTTAGGATTGACTGATTTGACCTTGAAATCCAAGCACCAGAATTCGAAAGCATCAGTTCTTTTGGCTCTCAGCTTTCCTTATAGTCCAACTCTAAAAGCCATACATTACATCTAGGAAAACCATAGTTTTGACTGTGGACATTTATTGGCGAGGTGATATTTCTGCTTTTTACTGTGCTGTCTAGGTTTGCCATAGGTTTCCTCCCAAAGAGCAAGCGTGTTTTAATTTCATGGCTGCAGTCGCCATCTGCAGAGATCTTGGAGGCCAAGAAAATAAAACCTGTCACTGTTTCCATTTCTTCCCCTTCTATTTGGTGGGAAGTTTAGTTTTTTAAGGTTGAGTTTCAAGTCAATTTTTCCACTCCTCTTTTACCCTCATCAAGAAATTTGAGAAGAACTAGAAGAAGAAAGGGCATGCCTTTCAAAGTACTATATGGAGAGAAGAGTTTTGCTGCTTTTGTACATTGAACATTGATACTAGCCTTCTGTGTAGGATTGGACAGTACAAGAAAATCAATTTATCAAATATTTATGACTGCCCATCTCATGGAAAATTACTCTGGCAGTGTACAACAGTCTAGTAAAATAACTATAAAATAGTTATATAAAATCACGATGCAGTTGTTAAAAACATTAACAACTATAGAAGTTTTGTATATCATGCAAAAAAGTTGCCTGAAAACAAAAACTTAAATCCCCAGTGTTAACACTCTGGTTAGTGAATGGAAGGTCATGTAATAGTAATGAGTAAATATCAATCACAGTTAAGCAAAGTCTAGAACAATTTTCTAAGGGTCAAGTAAACAGTAGCTCTTACCGTCTAGAGCAGGGGTCTCCAATCCCAGTCCTTGGACTGGCACTGGGCTGCAGCATGCCAGAAACTGGTCTGTGCAAACAAGCAAAACCCCATCCGAGGGTTGCAGGCAGCACACAAAATCATGCCCCCTCCTGTCAGTGGAAAAACCTCTCTCCATGGAACCAGTCCCTGGTGCCCAAAAGGTTGGGAGCTGCTGGTCTAGAGTAAGAAGAATGGGAATGCCTCAGTTGAATCTCCTGAGACCCATCTTTCATAGGCAGTGAAAATCTTGAGTTATCAAAAGTTCTGTGGTTCTACTTTCTAAGCTTCCTTGGATGATCCACAGATTCTAGTATTAGAAGAGGAAATGTAGCATCTGATTATATTTTATTTATTTATGAAACATACCCCATAATAGTCAAATGACTCTTGGGCATGCATCATGTTACACATTGTTATGGAATTCCTCATGTTCATGTTTTTTTCCTAAATTAAAATACTTCAAATTATATTACCTATCTCCTAAAGGAGGGGGTTGAGACTACTACTAGTTTTCACTACACCGGGCTATGCCTTTCCAGTTCTGAAGTGTACTTTGTAAGAAATAGTAAAACATTCATTGTTATGCACTGAGATAAGTTCAAATACATTTTTTCATTTGCTGTTGGTAAATTATCTGGTCAGTCCGTCTGCTCTGATGGGTCACTTGTCTTTTGGAGGACCTAATTTGTAGTTTGGGACCATTTCTAGATCTGGTCTCAACCTGGCATGGTTCCATAAATTAATTGTTCTCTTTCCAAGTAATAAAATGTTTATCTTCCACTCACAAGTCCAGTTGCTACAGCTGTAAGAACAGTGGGTACTAGCTTTCACAGTAATTAAGCAAATACTGTATTGCTGGAAAGCGAAATATAATTGCAGTAGCCTTTTTTGACTGTGACCCCACCACCCGTCGACAATGCCATTCAGTGGCAATCTAAAAGTTTTCTTTTAGAGGTAGCTAATACAGGTAGTCCTTGACTTAACGACCACAATTAAGCCCCAAATTTCTGTTGCTAAGCGAGATAGTTATTAAGTGAGTTTTTCCCATTTTGCTACCTTTCTGGTCTCAGTTGCTAAGTGAATTTACAGTTAAGTTAGCAACATGGTTGTAAAGTGAATCTGGCTTCCCCATTGTCTTTGCTTGTCAGAAGTTCGCAAAAGGTGATCACACGACCCTGGGATACTGCAGCCATCATAAATGAGTCAGTTGCCAAGCATCCAAATTTTTATCATGTGATCATGAGGACACTGCAACGATCATAAGTATAAAAAACAGTCATAAGTCACCTTTTTCAGTGCCATTGTAACTTTGAATGGTCACCAAATAAACTGTTGTAAGTCAAGGACTGCTTGTAATTTGTGATAATTTAACCTTCACAGATTTCTTTTTTTACTCTTTGAAAGGCTTCTAAGCTAGAATAAGTTCCAGTGTTGTATTTTCGACTGGCGTATTGCCCTCTTCTTTCCACTGTCTTGCCTGCCTTCGTTTATCTGCCATAAATCTCCATAATAGGGATGCTGATAATGAAATTTTGGAGTTAAAGACCTCATTACTAGAAGTAGATCAGACTTGGAAAGGCTTGTGTATAACAAGGAGGGAGAGAGTAAAAATGTTTAGTGACTGACAACACTTTTGAATGGGCCAAGACCTGCAGTGTGGTGAAGCTTTTTCTTTTTCTTTTCTCTGTCTTTGTGCAGAAGTGGTGGTATTTTTTTTTATATGTGCTTATTTGGTGCCTACAGCAGTTGGCAGCACTTTGTCAGTCTTGCTTGATCTCAGAAAAGAAAATATTTGGCCTGAATTACTGCTTAGATGGCAGACCACTTGAGAATACTAGGGCTGTAGGCTAGTAGACTGAGAAGTAAAAAAGAAATCCCAGGCAAGTGGCAAATCACTTCTGTTATTGCTGCCACAGATTTTGTTCATGTAGCCAGCAAGAGTCAAGCATGACTTAAATCATGCTTTTTCTAAGGTTTATATGACAATTATATTTTACAAAATAATAGGAAACTGCCATGAGTTTTCAGGGAGTGGGAGGGCATTTTGGGAACCAGAATAATGTTGGCATAAATTTATTTGTTTAATTTCTACATTGCCCATCTCCCTAAAAGCTGACTCTAAATTCTAAATTGATAGAAAAAATGTTTAATGCTTTTTCCCGGCACCATTCCAGTTCTTTGTGGCGTTTCTCTCCCTCTAAGCTCTTTTCCCTTAACCTGTCTTTATTAAGAAGCTCCAAAATGGATGGGAAAATTACTTGAAAATGTAATCAAATAAGGCGCAGCTAGGAAAACATTACCTATCTTCACCACATTAACTGATACGTTGGAAAGGTTACAGACAAGTGAACAAACCCAGGAAAGGTCTCGGTGCTTCCATTTTTTAACTTAAACTCATTTTTTCTCTTATGTGTCATTTGCAAAATCTCCTTTTTATGACCTGTGGTACCCCATACCTTATTCTGACAGCTGGAACATTGTAAGGATTTTTTTAGAGTAATGGTAAGTTAACAGAATAACAGTTCCTGAAGAGTAATTTTTTTTAATATATTGATGTAAACTTCAATGGCTGGCATCAATGAACTTCTGAGCTGAATTGCTGTAGCCCGGATTTCTTTTGTCTGACCTTTTGCCAGCATCTGGTGTTTTCAGGCTGGCATCTTCAGAGAGAGTGACCTGCTTTATGGTATACCTTTTGGCAAGTCACAAGCAACTGAACTAGGCTGACTGGGCTCTTGTGTTTTTTTTTTCAATCTGGCAAGCTGATCTCTGATTGGTCTGTGTCACAGGAGTCCAAGAAAATTAGTTGCTAAACTGTATTGTATTTGACAGTTTTCTCTTTGAATATTTAATCCAACCTTTTTAAAATGGGTGACTTCCACAGATGTTGGGCTGTACATTCCATGTTGAGATATTGTTCTAACGATACTTTAAGCATTCCTGTTCATTAATCCAAATATGCCGGCATATGTTCTTTTTCTGAGAGAATTACATCACAATGTTTGAAAACGTGTAACCACTAAGCAATTCATGTATTGACTGAAAAAAACATCGAACTGGTAAATTCTAAAATTGTCGTGATCTTGATCTTAGTTGTAAACACTGGAATAATGGGTTGTCACAAATTCCAATAACAAATTAATCAGGTTTCAGTTGTGTTAGGTCACACACCTCTATGCATTTGTCCTAAATTATTTATCAGTGAAGCCAAATTAAGATTTGAAGTTTAGAATCCCTGAGCAAAAAAATGTAGTCAGAAGTCCGCACAATGCACCTCAGTTTTTGACTTATATTAGAATAGCTAACTAGGGAACTACAGTGATTTTTAGGAATGTATAATATTATTTTGTTAATAAGGAAAAAAACCCAACACAATTAAATGCTGTTTAGTGGAACTGTATTTCTTTAGATTCAGATTATTAATAAACAAATTGTCAATGGGAGCTGAGGAATCTGTGTGCTTAATCATGGTTTGCCCCAAAATGGAAACAGTTGATGTCTGAGTTAGTGCAAGGACAATGAGGAATATTTGGGTGCCTTCATTAGCTCGAGGTTCACTAG